GGAATAACTCCTTTGCTGCACTGCCAGTGCTTGGTACAGTCACTTCTTTCATCTAGTGGGTGAAACAATCAAAGGTGAAAAGAAAGCAACAAGCCAGGTAGCTGGCAGCAGTGGGAGACGCAACATCTGAAAAACTATCACAATTCAGGTAACCTCCAGTGGTCAACGTGCATTTTGGAAAGCATGCTGTGCTGCAGGTCTCTGCCCAGAGCCATCGGTGGTCCCCACTATCCCCCTGCAGAGCTGGCTCTCCCTGCCATGTGCTGCCAGATGCCACCATCCAGGGCTCCCACACTGCTTCAGCTGCAAGAAGTGACAGTAAGCATTGGCCCAACCTTTTCAGTACCCAGATCCAGAAAAATAGACTTCAGGAGTCTGCAATAGGCAGGACATCAGCACCTTATCCCACTCTTAACCTGAAAGGCTGTAGACACCTGTGCTTCTCAAGTGTTCAAAATTAGTTATTGCACATGCCCAGAGCTGTCACTGTCACAGAAAGCATCTCCTATGCAAGCTCATTTCTGCTTATTTTAACATTCTGGATGTTAACAGGTAGTAGAAAACCTGGTGTCTGTAACCTCTGCAGCATGAAAGAGGCTGGGTTCACTCTCTCACTTTTTAATGAGACTGTTCTACTCACCACACTGTAGACTAGACTGAATCTGTTTTGCTTTGCAGCAAGCAGTGGCTGAGGCTTGGGTCCAGGCGCTCTCCTCAGAGTCATTTCTGGCCCTTTTGCATGGAAAAGTCACCAGAACAAATGCAGGACCAGCTGTAGGACTCTTCTCTCAGGTGAGCACCTAAAACACCGAGCTGGACCGGCACATATCCCAGCCTAATGGATGTGCATGCTTTGCTGAACATTAGCCCAAAAGCAGTGTAATTGGGAAGAGAGAACTCCTCTCTGGCCTGCCAGGAGGTGGAAGTGAGAGGCTGAAGTCTTTGGTGAACACTTACTAGAGAAAAGCGGAGTAGGAACATCACCATGGTCTTGTTTTAAAAATTAGGTGTTTTCCTGCTGTAAAGAACAGCTTCAGCGCTTCTCCCTGGCAGGCTCAAAGATGTAAACTGCAGCCACACCTAGGCTCCTACCTCTAGGTTGCAGGACACCTGTGTGTCTGAGCTGTAGAGGGTTTCAGCACACTCCAGGCACTGCCTATCTCCCTCTTGAGCATCCTGGCTGCAGAGCTCCTAAACTGGTGTTGCAGACAACGGGATGAAAAAAGTGGACTCCTACTGCCCCCTCCCTCCAGTGCCTGCACTGCATCTGGTTAGTCACACTCCGGACCGAAGGCAAGAACTGATAGGCATGAAAACCAATTTTTTTTGATTCCTATCAGACGAGGATAACAAGTTATCTATGCCAAAACCAGTAAGTTTTTTTAAAGATCAGTTTCCAAGTGCTTGTGAGAGTGTCCACACAACATGGTACTACTGCCATTACCTTGAATGAGCACTAAATGCAATTCATACTTACTGAACAACTCCAGTTTGCATTAATGCATTCCACAAAAACTACATCCAAGTGAAAGCTTACAGGAAGCAGGCTCTACAGCAGAAGTGATGCAGAACAGAGTAGCTACTTTTGCAGGGCAAGAGCTATGCTGAGGTTATGATTGTTTCTTTAACTGTTCACAGAAGACTCCAAATTTTCACTTCTGCCTCCCAGAAGACTATGAGAGGATAAAGGGGAGCTCTGTCTTCCCCATTCTGCTGCACTTAGGCTGATGTTCAGTAAAGAACACCGAGCATGGTGGCTCTCCTTTTTTAAAGGGATTTAAACACTGGAATCAAGTAATCATTAGGGAAACTTATTCTTTCTCTGCACTCCCTTTAAAAACCTCTCCTAAACCCCACTCCATCACAAGCCTTCATTGCACTTCTGTAATACAGACAAGCCCTTGGGAACCAGCCTTTCCTGGAAAATGAAGTCAATGTGTGAAGTCAGCTGTTAATTTTGCAAAGGTGCTGTCTCTGATAAGGGCTTGCATGAACTATTTGAGAGCTACTTAACTACTGTGTCTTATAGAGCCAAGTTTTAAGCTATTTGGGGCATTTTTTAGCTCTTAGTAACTGAGTTAACTAGTAGATGGAAGCAAGATTAATTTTTATTAGTTTGAAGTATCATATTTTATTCAAGTGATAAGAAATATCATAATACATTATGCATCTGCCAGTTATAGTCCATTTTAGTTGGTTCAAAAACCTAAGCAGTAAATGAGTAAGATAGTTTATCTAATTAAACTAAAAAACCAGCATTCCACACAACCAGCACTGGAGATCTCAACCGTATAGTAATTCCAGCATTACATTGTTATATGGCTTTCCAGAAACTAAGGAAGTTAACAAATTAGAACACATCAAGAGCCATTTTCCAAAGATTTATTGAAGTAGCGACAGGTTGCTCATACTGTGCTGGAAAAAGCAGTTTTACTGAATTCAAATACTTAAAAACAGTATTGCAGCACAAGATATTGCTATTTGTAAACTAGACTCCATTGTAAACTCTAATCCTTCAGGGAGAGTCAGTTTGCAAGATCTAAGACCTATTTCCTAGCATAATAATCTTGCGCTCACGGAAAAACTGCAGAAAGGCACTTGAAAGCTGTTTCTTCCTTTAAGACGTGGACTTTTTAAATCTTGCTGGTAAGAATTTCTCCTGCATTAGTAAGTATGCATCTTCACTTCAGCTTTACTCCAAGTCATCATGATGCTGGGAAGTTTCATTAATAACCTGTTGAAAAACAGACACTTGCATTAAGTTATAGTAGTAAGGCTGTTGGGTTTTTAATTAGAACTGGAACATCCAGAACCAGAGAAATATGAACAAATGGGTATCAACTTTCACTTACAAATTAGAAGTTTGAGTTGGTAAATGGTGTGCAGAAACCATTTAAGCTTTATTGACTTAGTCTGAAAACAGCATTTCATCCCAAATAAGTACCTCTGTTTACTGCCACATGTTTTTCCCAGGTGGTGTGAGAAATCTTTCAAGAATTTGCTAATTCAGATGAAATTAAATACTCACTACACAGGTAACCACTTCAAGTTTTACTATCAGATGAATTATGTGATCGTTTCCACAGAAGCCTGTTTGCTACATCTTTATGTTCAGCCATGCAGCTTGGACTGCCAGATGCTGTTCTACTCAGTACTTACACTACCATATAAAAGCTGTGCTGACCAGTAGAGAAACACAGTATTTCAAAGTAACCAGCTCTGATAGAAATAAAATCAAGTTACCACCAACCTGTCCATCTCTAGTTTCAACAGTCTTAATGAGAAGTGTCCTCTTTGAGTGAGTGTCAACCATTGGCTGAGACTCAATGTTGGTTTCTGCAGAAGAAAATGTATTATTACCAATAGTCTAGATAAAGTGTCTCCCCAAAGAAATGATGTGCAATAGATTTTAGTGTCTGCTTTCAGAATCCCAGTTTAGTATATGAAGAAGTCTCCTGCTCTGACTGGTAAACTAGCTAATCTCCATTCTCTCCCTATTCTCCTTAAAGCACTTTAAGCAGCCATCTAAACCAATCACTCACTATGTACTGATATTTAAAAATATCTGTGCCCAGGAACAAAGTAGCTTCTCCCATCCAAGGTTAAGTAATTGCAAATATTGTATTTTTATCTAAGAAAAACATTCACATGTAACTGCATTTATACAAGTTCAAACAGTTAGAGTAAAAGGAACTATCCAGGACCCTTCTGCTAATGATACAACAGCTGTCTAAACTGAGGTAGCAGAAACAGCTTACCTCTCAGGTTCAAAGAAGCAAAGGTTGGAATAGGCATGTTAATCCTGAAGGAAAAAAATAAACGGATAAAGTCAGACATGGGTATAGAGCATCTTCTAGTAATTGCTGTTCAGAAAAGTGTCTGCATGTGATTTTTACCTGCTCTCTTCACCCTCCAGCAGTTTTCTGTAGGTGGCAATCTCAATATCAAGAGCCATCTTTACATTCAGCAGGTCCTGGTACTCACGGAGATGACGAGCCATTTCTTCCTTCATGTTTTGAATCTCATCCTGCAGACGGCCAATAGTGTCTTGGTAGTTAGCAGCTTCAACAGCAAAATTCTCCTCCATTTCACGCATTTGGCGCTCCAGAGATTCATTCTAGAAGAGAGTAATGAAGTCAAGCACTGCTGCAGTTCAGCCACTCTTCCCCACCCTCAAGACCCTCTAAACTTTTTTAAAAAGGCAAGTTCAGTTACATTAGCATCCTTTCTGAAAATGCCTAGATATCTCCCAAATTTGTCATCTTCTTATCTTCCCCTTGAGAAATCAAGGTGGGTTATTCTGCTACTTGATCTGAGGTGTGCTCAGGTGTGTATTTGTTCTATCAGGTGACAAAGCAATCCCTCACAGGAAGCCAAATACATGCTGTACAAGACAGCATGCAGGCAGTCTTCAGTAAGGGGATTTGCAGGTGTACTATACACTGTTAAATCCATTTCAAGCTAGTCTTTAAAGCAGTCAGGTTCCAGCAACAGCAAGATTTGTACCTCCTTTCCACTACTCCTCCAGCTTTCTTTATAGCTTCAGCTGTACCTGACAGACTAGCCATAAACACCTCCAGAAAGTGTTA